TGATGTTGACGAGCCAGCATGGGACGTGCTCAGCCAGATGCGAGCAGATGCAGCAGAACTGTCAGATCAGGAGCAACCACAGTCTCCACAAGCCCCTCAAACTCCAACACGAAACTGGGGTATTCGAGGGCTATTTAACTCGGTTCCTAGGTCGATTTCAAAATTCATTCCTACATTTAACCTGTCTCCAGTGCGAAGAGAGTTGTCGTCAGAGGGCTTTCGGACACCCCCGGAAATTGTAACGAGACCTGCGCAATCCACACCAGTTACCAGTACCCCCGATCAGGGTGAGCTACCTGAACAGTTTGAGCAATCCCGGGATCCAGAGCATATGACATACTCACTTTTTCCGCAACCCCTAAACCGGCGCCAGCTGTTGGGAACCCCTCCGGATGTTCCATACTCACAGAATGAAGCCCGAAAGGTTCTGGCGACTGAAACTACCGTTTCTAAGGAAACTGAAATCAACAATGAGCATCACACGCCCGGCAATAATAACAATAACAATAACAATAACAATAACAACGGCAGCAGTAAGAACCCAAGAAAACGCAAGCACTCCATTCCAAAACCAATTCCCAACCCCCCAGGCACCAGCTATGGAATGGACTTAAGATATTTTGGAGACAGTTCACTAAGCGAAGCAGATGATGACTCTACGCCCGAAGATATAACTGCATTTGACACTGAACAACCTCCGGCCTCCATTGCACCAACAGAGCAACCTGCTATTCGAGGTATCCTACGTGTTACAAAGCGCGTTCGTTTTGATGCTAGTCCTGAGAACACTCCATCCAAACTTCGACTCCGCCATCCCCAATCCCAAAACATCGACAATGACCAGAGAACAACGGAGGAACAAAGTTCAGCCCTTCCTTATACAGACGATCCGATGGATATCTCCAGCGACCACTCTACCGGCGAACCGTCTACGTTTACCTCACCTGCCAACCCTCAAACCCCTTCATCCGATTCTCTGGGAGATCCCCAGCCCTCTTCGCCTTCTCCACCGATTATTCGTCCAAATCCATTTGGAACTTACTGCCTAGATTACGATATGTTTTCAGACGACGATGATTTATATGAGGATGAGGAGATTGCGGCGGAAGCGGCGGAAACAACTACAAGTCTCAGCACTGGCGCCACCGCGAATGAAACACCTGCCCCAACTCCCCAGGATCGTGACACGGCTACTTCCTCTTCCCTACGAAGTCAGGTTACTGCGCACGAACCTTCCGCATCATCACCAGGTGTCTCTCAGTCCTCATCCACTGCTCTTGAGGTTGCGCCGGTTGGTTCTCAAACATCACAACAGCCTTCTGTCTTTGCTAATAACTGGACACAACCTCCGCCGCCTCGCCCGACGCCGGCTCATGCGTCTCTTCCATCGCAGCCAACCACACCCGTTGGCGCGGATGCTGTCGCCAAGCTCCGTTCACAGGCCGAGAAGTACAAGCCGAAGCTCCCTAGCGGGCTTCGTGCTTCCCGCCGGTACTCTTCCAGTCCGCTGTCGGCTCCAGACAGTGGTGACAATATGGCCTCGGAGCCTGAACACTTTGGGCCGCTGTTGGATTCCCCTCTACCACATCTCAACGGACGTGAGCCACGCCAAGCCACGGAAGCCAAGGGGGAGGCTTCCGTGGCGGACAAGGAGAATTTGCCCGGCGACCTGGGGGGGTCGTCGGCGCAAAGTTCGCACGTACCAAGCCCCCGGATAAGACAATTGGTCCGTGAGATGTGGTTAGAGGAGGATGACGACGCGGCCGACGAGGTGTTCAGTCGCGAGTTCCGCCGATTCCGCCGGGAGAAATCCCGGTTGGAGGAGTCGGAGCTGCAGGAGGAGGAGCGGGGAGAGGAAGAGGAGGAAGAGGAGGGGGCAGCTCCCATCGAGCCCTTTAACCTGGGCTCGTATGGTGAGTTTTGCCAGAGGTTTGGGGAGTATAGGCGGGGCGGGCCGCCTAGGGTGTTGAGGGGGTCGGGGGGGTTGAGGGAGGGGGTTGCTTTTTGTCTTTTTTTTTCGTTGTTTATTTTTTTATTTTTTCATTTCATGTTTTGAGTTCTTTCGCGTTATGCCCTCCTTCGCTTCAGCGGGGGGTGGGTGTATTCGAAAGGCTCATAGTTTTTTGTATTGTGTTATTTTGGTTTGGGTTGGTTTGATTTCCTTTATAATTTTTTTCATTTATGTTCTACTGCTCGTTTATGCCCTCTCTTCCTTTTCTTAGGGAAAGGAAGTAGATTGGGTTAACGGGGTGCATGTATATAGGTACGCACGCACGTATGTACGTATGTATGCACGTATGCTCGCGCGTTTCATTTTTTTTTTTTCAACATCATGTAAGTTTAGCTTTTGTTGGAGTACAGGAGGCGGGGCGAGGGAGGCGCAAACGGAATTTTTCATGAAGATGTTCTTACTGTCTTGAATCATGAAAACCTCGTAACCGATAAACACTGCGTGGAGACGACTTAGTACTTCTACTGGCCTATATGTAGTAAAGCCCCTAGGTGGCAAATGCCTTTGTAACACCTAATCAAACCCCTCGAACTCCTCTTCCCGAGTGACGGTTTGATCCTGTTCCTGTACAGTTTTCCGAACTGCATTCACCATTTGCTCAGTCTCTCGTACCCTCTCCTTCTCTTCCTCCGTCATCCTATTCCACTGTTCATGATGCCTCCTAATTTTCTTCCGCTCCCGTCTCCGCTCTTTCTCACTCTTCCTCTCCAGATTCTGACTCCACGGGATCGATTCGCTGGTCGCCGGCCTCTTCAATGGCCCCTTATCACTACCAGTAGCATCACCATTATTATGAACATTGCTGCTACTCCGACCCTCCATCTCCATCCGCCGATGCTTCTCCCTCTGTCTATCCTTATACGCATAATTATCCCAATCGACTTCGCTGACGCCCAAATTCCTATCGCCCGTGAAGCCCTTCAGTTCTGGCATCGTAGGTAGCCGCAGCAAACCCCATGCCCGCCCCAGTTCTTCCCAGTCCAGGTCCGCGACGCGGAATATGCTGCTGGCCTGGTGCTTGCTGTAGCTGCGTAGCCAGCTGACGAAGGCGCGTTGTGCTTTATCGTGTATGGCGCGGTCGCGGAGAACGAGGGAGCGGATTTTTTCGGTCGTGGATGTGGCGTCGGCGGTGGTGATTTGGATTGGGTGGAGGGTTTGTGGGTTTTTGGGTGAGGAGGCGGAGAAATGTGACGATGAGGGTAATTGCGAAGGTGTAGATGTGGAGGTGGATTGGAATTCCGTCACGGGTGTCTTGCGCACGTTGAGAAAGGCGATGTAATCCTCTTCTCGGCCTGGGTGGAGGAAAATGACGCTGAGGCCACGGCGGCCGGCGCGGCCTGCTCGCCCACAGCGGTGGAGAAACGCTTTCGGATCCGTCGGGGGATCGATTTGGATTACTAGATCTACAGCTGGGATGTCGAGGCCGCGGGCGGCCACGTCAGTGGTTAGGAGGATGGAGGAGGTGACGGAGTTGACGAAGCGGGTGAAGTTCTTCTGCCGGACTTGTGGCGGATGTTTGCCGTGTAGGGGGATTGTGGTGAATCGATCTGGTAGGATGCAAGGAAGGATGTGCTGGTAGTAGTCTACTGCGGCGCAGGTGGAGAAGTAGAGGATTGATCTTTGTGGGGTGGGTGAGAGGGTTGAGAGGATATATTTCACAGCGGGAAGTTTGTGGGTGGGTGGTGTGAGGAGGTACGTCATTTGGAGACTGGAAATGAAGTTAGACAAATAACAACATAACGCAAACTGATAATCTGTGCCACCTGGGATAATACATACCTAGCTGGAGTTCGCTTGTCCTCCAGGCCAGCCCCTTTTACCTTGACTGCAATTTTGACCGGGTTCCGTAAACCGACACGGATGATCTGGTCGACAGCCTCACTTACACTAGCACTGAAAAGACCTGTTCGCCGTTGCTTGGGCAATCGCTGGAGAATCTTTTGGAGGTCTTCCTTGAAACCCAAATCCAAAAGTCTATCAGCCTCATCGAGGACAAGGACCTCGAATGATGATTGGGAGCAATGGGCATGGGGTGAAGATAGAAGCTCGAGAAGGCGGCCGGGCGTTGAAACAAGAACGTTAGGCGATTGCTTTAGGAATGTACTTAGATCTTGCGTGGGGGTTGTAGTACCTCCTAGAAGGAGTTGCGGGACTATTTTCAACGTGGATGGTGGATACGATGAGGCAGGGTTAGACTCGTCTCCTTCGCCGCTGTTGTTTTCTGTGCGCTGTAGTCGCGCCGCGGAAGGGCCGTGGAAGGCTAGCAGAGAGAGCAGGACATTGTAGATTTGAGTGGCCAATTCCCTATTCCCGTATATTAGCTTAATTTAGCCTCTTTGAACCCCTCTTCGCCTTCTTGCTTCTGCCTTCCCGGGATGATACTTGGGCGATATAAATTACCTTGTGGGCGAGATGAGAATTGCTCCGATATGGTGCTTTTTAATTGGCGATTCGAGCCGTAAAAGTCTTTCCACAACGGGAATCAAAAAGGCTAGTGTCTTCCCGCTACCAGTCACAGCTTCGACGACGACATCTTTATGCCCCATGAACAGAGGAATTGTCGATGCCTGGACTGGGGTCATACGGGAGAAGCCCATTGCGGAAATCGCATCAAGGATCCATTCTGAGAGCGGAGGGGTGAGCGCATCCCAAGCTCTGGAGTGTGAACTCTGTGGAGTAGTTGGAGCAATCCGGGATGCTGATGTCGCCATTTCACCCGTACTCAAGCTTCATGCAGAGACGTGAAGTGAGGTTGGAAGACGTTGATGCCCGCCGTGCTTCCCAAAGCGGTAAAAAAGTAAAATGTCTTGGCGTTTGCGATATTTTCTGCCACTCCACACCGCTGCAATGACTAAACGTATCACACGTGACCTGGGCGGAGCTCTGCCGGAACAGCTGGGAAAAATTGGGGCTGAAAAAGTCAACTCATCTTCGTTCTCTCAGATAAACACGCCCTCACCTTTATCTCTTCTCTAGCTCCCCTCTGTACTGCCGTTTTGCCCTCTGTTACTTCGCGCGGCTTTAGGGGAACCGAAGGGACCCCACAGCGTCTGTGTTTGCTGGTCCAGAATGCGCCTGCGTTTTTGAGGCGAGGGTCGCTTGACAAATAACAGGTCTCTTCGCTCCATCCCAAGGAATATTTGCCTATTTCTAGCTTTCGTTCCTGGCCTTTGTCTTCTGGAGTTTCAAAAGGCTCTGGTTTTGAGATCTTTCGCTGTCGTCGCCGCACCAATAAGTCTAGATCGCATTTTCCAGCGCACCCGGGATCTCCGCTGTCATGTCAGCCCAATACGCTGTCCCTGCGACGCCACGCGTAACTTCGCCGTCACCCACCCCGTCAGATCGTTCGATTGCCGAAAATGTAGAGTCCCGTCGTGTCACACGATCTGTGTCTGCGAGACAACACCTATCTTCACCTCCCTCCATCTCAGAGGAAAACAAAAAGCAAAATGAGAGAGACGAGGAATCAAGCCCGGACTCCAATACAGACCGCCTCGCGCGAACCCGCTCCCGCAGTCCGACTGGGCTCTCGCCAGATAAAGCACGTCGTCGGATAACAGGACTAACACCTGTGAATGGGGCATCGATTACAGGCATATCGAAAGCCGAACACCTGTCAAATGGATATGTCCCTGCGAATGGCCATCTTTCCCCATATTCCAGCCTTCAAAACCGCTGGCGGGATTTCTCTCGCTCCCCTTCACCCTTAGGCCTTATACCGCTTCATAGACACTACAGAACGTTTATCCATCGCCATGAAATCCCGCGCAAACTACTCCATGTTTCAATCGGCTTTGTCACGCTTCATCTCTACTGCCGAGGGGTGCAGACCTTGAACGTGGCTCCCTGGCTTCTAACTGCGCTGATCCCGATTGCTGTTACCGACTTCCTCCGCCACCGCTATCAACCTGTAAACAAGCTCTACATTCGGTGCCTGGGGGCCCTTATGCGAGAAACCGAGGTGACTGGGTACAATGGTGTGATCTGGTACCTCCTCGGAGCATATATCTCTCTTCGTTTCTTCCCGAAGGACGTTGGTGTGGTGGGTGTTTTGCTCCTGAGTTGGTGTGACACTGCAGCTTCTACCTTTGGGCGTTTGTACGGCCGATATACCGTTCGTCTCCGCCGGGGAAAGAGTTTGGCTGGCACTCTTGCTGCCTGGGCCACGGGAGTCGCCACTGCGGTTGCTTTCTGGGGATATCTTGCCCCCTGGGTCGGTTCATTCCCTGACGATCCTGAAAGGTCGTTCATGTTCAACGGCACTCTCAATCTGATTCCAAACTTCGCTCGGGCCTACCTCGGGTGGGCCGGCATATCTGCAACTACCGCAGCCAAAGCAGTGGTCACTGGACCCCTGGCTTTGGGCATCATGAGTATGTGGACTGGAATAGTGGCTGCTGGCAGTGAACTCGTAGACATCTTCGGATGGGATGATAACCTTACCATTCCTGTCCTTAGTAGTGTCGGGATTTGGGGCTTTTTGAAAACTTTCAGATGATATGGTTTATTTTCACTTCGCCGTTTTATACTCTCGCTCCCATTGCATACACCCTTGCTTTTACTCAGATGGTTCTTGATGATTTCATTTTTACGAACACTACGTTTCCAACTCTAAAGTACACTTACGATGTTTCCCTTTATCCCTGGCCCTATCTCGTCTCATTTGTTACAAGCTCATTCTAGCGTGATTTTGGAATCACATTCCGGCATACATTATGTTAGCCCCAGTCACCCCATTTTTCGATATCACAGATAGATATGACAACACCCCTTTCCTATCGCTCCCCTATCATTTATTTATTTATTTATTTATTTTTTTTTTCATTTCCTATATTCGTTCACAACACAGGCGTTTCATGCCATTTTTGGATCCTCGTGCAGCCCTTCCCGACTTTGGCGTTTTGGTTGAGGTGGATAGTATAGTTATTAGTTTAGGAAATATATATTATCTATTCTATCTACAGTGTTAAACATGGTATAGGTTTGCCTTACTTAAGGCAAGAGGTAGGAGTTGTTGGCGCAAGAAACCTCACATTAGTTTAGAGGTTTATTAATATCTAATAAACGATCATTAATATTAGTCCTGAAAGGGTTTTGTTGGTAATTTGCATATCCATATGGAGTATGATTAGAGGAGAAGTGTCGAATATTAACCAAAGCACGATTAAACAAGAAGCCAGACTATGGAGTCTGATGGGGAATTTCCAAAATGTATCCTTGCATATAACCAATAGCCGCTGTATAATTTTATGTACCCATTACTCCTGACTCAAATCCAAAATGCTTACTCGCCCCCGTAATTTCATCTTCCCTAGTTTCTTATCCAGGATAGTTTTCTGTTGAGTATTGTAGAGGTTCCCCTGATTGTCGCTTGGCACTTCAGGAGAATCCTGTTCGTCATTATTTTTCCGTTGCCTGTATGCCCAATATCCATTATAAATTTCAATGACTGGCAGCTCTGTTACCTCAACTTGAGAGTTTGACGTATGGTTGGAATTCTCCGTTTCAAAAAGTAACTCTTTGCGGTCGTCGTTCGAGGAAAGCTTCGCGGCTGTGGGTGCTGGGGGGATATTCTGCGAAGTCCCACTTCCTTCGGCGATGGTGTGTGAGGATTCAGACCATTCATCAACTTTGCAATCTTGAATTTTGAGCCCTGAAAATTCGGACGATATGTCGTCTGCGGTGGGGAGGTCGTACTCGGATATTGACAACCGTGAATGCGATTTAATCGTGTTCGACTTTGGCGGGTTACTTTTACGTTCGATATCTAAATTCTCAACGGGTGGAAAGATATTTGAGGTATCTTTGGACTTATTTCGATTCCGTGTTTGCGTGCCGGTAGGTGGGATGGCTCGCAAACTTGCCGCCTTGTGGCTGACTCTACGGATACGGCCTCTCTTCGTGGGTGTAGATTGTCCAATATCAGATGAAATTTTCATCTCAAGCATGGCCTTTTCTATTGTTTCCACGGAAGTATTGTATTGATCCGCTAGTTATTAGTGAGGGAAGGTTGAAAACACTATGGAAGGAATGGAAAGCAGAACTTACATTCATTAGCACGTTCAAAATTCATTGTTGCCTCAATATCACTTAATGCCGCCTTCTCTGATGGCCTTGGCTTGGCGATGGGATTTCTTTTGCTCGGAGAGCATGCTTGACTAGATGGTGATTCTAATTCAGACGCATACCCATTCGCGATAGTGGAATCATCGCAGTGCATATGCTTTTGAGAGCTGGATGAAGGAAACTTGATCAGCCCAGTCCCTGGGCTTTTAACGACAGTGCAGTACTTTAAAATCTCTCCAAATTTCATTTTCGGATCCACAACTTTCGGTTTCGTCATCTTTGGAGCTCTTTTTCGGGAAACTCGTTTCTCCGCAAGCGCTAACTTTTCCTGTTTTTGAGAATTCCATGTCATGACTGCGTCTGGCATTCCCATCTCAGCGATAGCTTCAAAGACCCATACCTTTTCTTTTTGTGTAGGATCGTACGTCGTTCGCCGTCGTGTACCTGGTTTGAGGTTGGTTACATCTTCTGCTATTTCCGGATTATCGAGATCTTCGGATTCACTCTCCCGTTGCGAGGCGGTGGTGGGTTCGTAAGTCAAGTCTAAACCAACAATATCGGTGGGTATGAACTCAAGCCTCAACTCTGACAGTCCGTCGGTGCTGAAGTGGAACCTTTGTCCACAAAATTGCGTCCCTATTTTTGGTTCACGGAGAGGTAATGCATCGGGTTTGGCAAGAAGTGGAAGGCAAAGTCTCAATCTATTGCACACAAGAGGTGCCGCAAGGACCTTTGTCAATCTTCTTGCAGAGCCACGTTGCCAGCCGAAATCATTCCAAACGAAATTTCTAAGGCCTTCAATGTCAATGGCTTGATCCCACTTAAATGACCGCTGTAGCTCATTTAACTTCTCTGAGGAGGAAACAACTGGATGGGTGTAGTCACCCAACACCTTCAGGTCTGGAAAGCAATCTGGAATTTTGACAGCCTTATGTTTGCACTTAAAATGGCCCTCGCCATTTTCATGGAGCTCATTTCTCAGCCGTTCTCTCCATTTCTCCAACTTTACGGCGACTTCCGCTGGACTGCCTTCGATGGCTTGTAATAATTCGTTACCGAAGCCAGCTTGTATAATTTCCCCTGCTAGCTTCGGGCCGCATTTTGGTACTCCAGTGGGTAGATAGTCGCCTCCACTTAACAATGCAAAAAGAATCATGGCACCCCTATCAAGCAGAACATTTCGTTTCCGTCCATCCCCACTCTCCTCGGTCTGATAAAGAGTAACATGGGTAGCAGCATTCGTTCCACTAGAGCTTTCTTTAGAAAAATTCATGATCGTAACCTTCGATCCGAACATAATGGCATCGACGTCGTCGCTCATAACCGCATCCACTACCCCAGAGGTTTGCAGCCGTGCACATTCAGCCTCTGCTTCTCCTGGTGCTGTGTGATGCGGAAAGCGGAACAGGTCTATCAAGTGTTTAGAGCGGCGTATTATCCTCCCCAAATCGCCAGCTCTGTTGTTTCTGTCAATTAATTTGCCACGCTTGTACTGAGGCCTTTGCGGGCCATCGTAAATAAAGAGTGGATGCACGGGCAATCCAGTCAATCGTACCAGGCGATAGAAGAGAGTTCGAAGCTCCGGATTTGTGCCTCCTTTCCCCGCTTGGACTTGGAAAAGCCATATCGAAATATCTATAGCGACACGAATGGGCCGGGATGTGCGTTGCAAATGGTCGATTGCCAACTTAGCCAATGAAATACGCTCTCCAGGCCCGAGTGACTGGATAAGACTGCAATTATCCGGCAGGATTCAGTAAACACCATTCATCCGATGGTTACTCCGAGAATGTAACTTACCCAGGAATTCCCATTCAAACAACTGAGGCAGAGATACCTCCGTACCTTCAATGAAAGAGTGCATGTATTTAGACCTTTCCTCGGATGTGAAGATGCTCGTGTTTTGGTGATGGACTCGTCGCGTTGTCACGTGATATAGCCTATCCATGGATTTGTAGCACCCTTTGATAACAGCTAACTAACAATTATATTATTTCACGGCCCTGATACGACATGGGTATGGCGATGGTGAATATATAAAATGAACCACCCCAGAAAGGAATGATGCTACACGCACAACCTCCCAGAATAACCAAACCGCATTCGCATCCCCAGAATCAACCAGGGAGCAATTGATATGGCTACTACTTCAAACTCGTCAGGCTTTGGTCGACGGCAATCTCTTACCTCTACAGGCACAGTTCGATCAAGTCTCCGTCAAGGTCGACAGCCCCTTCCCGGTTCTCCTCATACGCCCCAGCAGCGACAGATACTATCGTCATACACAGGGTCTACCTCGCCTGGGTCTTCGTTTCGACACGAAGAGGATGCGGTGGTGTTTGAACTGGGCTCCCGGTATCTCCGTGCTGGGTTCGAAGGGGACAACTCCCCGATCTGTGTCATTGGTTTCAGCCCAGAGGGAGGTCGAAGGGTTGGCGACTATAGGGGGTGGATAAGAACTGGTGGGCATGAGGGGCCGAGTTCGAAAAAGGTATACAAAAGCGTGGATGAATGGTCAAAAAATTACGAGCTTTGGAAGATGGATATCCGAGATTTTGACATTGGACTTTTCGAGGACAAAATCGAACGAATAATTCGCGAAGTTTACAACAAATACCTCCTCACAGACGCGGGCTCTTCGCGACTGGTTATTGTGTTACCATCAATTGTTCCTCATCCGCTTCTCGCATCTTTCCTATCAGCCATGTTCAATCGCTGGAGGTATCCCAGCATTACCTTACTTCCGTCCGCAGCCATGGCAGCTGTTTCAGCAGGATTGAGATCTGCCCTTGTCGTTGATATTGGATGGGAGGAGACCACAGTTACGAGCCTTTATGAATATCGAGAAATTCAATCGAAACGAAGCATTCGTGCTATGAAATTGCTAACCCACAAAATGGGAGCTTTCCTTACAAATCTAGAGAATAATTCGGGAGATTACAAGAAATCCGATAATAGAAATGGCGATAATGATATAATCGCTGTGAGCTTTGAGTGGTGTGAAGAAATAGTAACCCGACTCGCGTGGTGCAAAACCAAAGGGAATGCTAGGCGCGGTGAAAAGACCGGTACGGAATCTTCACCGAAGGCAGAAGATTCACGGTTATGCGATTCCAATGTCATTTTGCCATCATCGCTAGGAGGTACGACAGCTGACATGAAGGTTCCATTCGTTAAATTTTCCGAATCGGTTGAGGAGGCTTTATTTGCTGGACGTTCTGAGGCGAGAAACCTCGATGATGAAGAAATGCCTCTTGATCATTTGGTCTATCATAGCCTTCTCGCTCTTCCGCCCGATATTCGTGGCGCATGTATGTCGCGGATTATTTTCGTTGGTGGGGGGTCGAATATTCCAGGTATTCGCCAGAGAGTAATGGACGAAGTGGACTGCCTTGTAGAGAAGCATGGATGGGACCCAGTTAGAGGCAAGAATGTTAACACATGCCCAAGACAACTTCAAGAAATTTCTAGGAACCAACAACGGCCTGTTAGCTCCACTTCGAGTAGAGACACCCAAAGAGATAACCAGTCAGAGTCAACTGCGAATTTCGTTGACGAAAAGTTGGAGCGGACCAACAAGGACTCTAAACCATATACGCATGGGATTCTGCGCCAGGTTGAGTCTCTCGGATCTTGGGCTGGTGCCAGTCTTGTTGCCAGCCTCAAGGTGAAAGGAATTGTGGAAATCGAAAGAGAAAAATTCCTACAGCATGGTCTCGCGGGGGCAAGCCGCGACTCTGATCTAACTCACATGGCAGAGCGTCGATCAGGGTATGGACCAGGTATAGGAAGATCAAGTGGAGAAAGGTCAAGTTGGACACTGGGCGAATGGGGCTGATACATGAGGATAGTAAGCCCTTATCTATCTTTACTTAGCAAAAGGGATAGGAGAACAAGATCTGAATTCAATTGATGGTAAGATCTACGTGTTTATTGTTTACCTTTCTTGAGTTTCTTCCGGCTTCTATATGAATTTGGGACGATACCACGGGGTTGTTCATTCACTATTTATTACTCGTTGCCCCCTCCTACGAGCTTAGAGGATATGAATATCATATCAGTGACTGTAACTTGGGTGGTTGGCTCTTTGATGGTGGTTTCGGAAATGGAGCATTTCTTTCAAAGTGGTATCATGCCTCTGAGACCTTTGTACTGCTCTCCTTCAAACAACAGCCCAACATATCGTGGCAACAAAGGCGATTGTGTTTGCTCCTTCAAGTCCGATATACCCTCCACCACACCTGCCAGAATACTGAGCCAGAATACTAGACCCGCCCCGCTGATTTTGGTAAACAGTCGCGCACATTGTAAAGGAGCTTCCATGTTTTGATGCCTCAACATCCTTCCCTCCTTGTAGCGAGCTTCTTTCTATATTCTCATCTACCATGAAATCTGTTGCAATCCGGGTCTCATTTTATTTTTCGCCTTATCCTGTTTTTCCTCGGACAGCAGCATTCATGATGGCTCCCTCAGAGTGGAAATTCCGCTCAGTATCGTCATCTTCCTCTAGCCATCTCCACGGGTCACAAAACTCACATCGTCCTTCGAAGCGCTTCTCGTTTAAAATTGGTGTTTTATCCCACGGAAAAACAAACGAAGCACCCCCTTTTGGACCCTCTCTCAATGCTCTTGACCCTCTCCCCGACGACCAGGTCAAGCTCGAAGGAATAGTGAACTATCATCTTAGCCAGGTAGGCCGACTAAAGCTTGAAGTGGACCACTACAATAACACGATCGAACTGCTATCATGCACCACCCCTCCTGAAGACATGGAATGTGTTGCTAGGAAGCTACATGAGCGAATCCGAGGGGTTATGGACGCGCGGAAACAACTTGGAGAATTTATGTCTTTCCACGTGCGGGAGATTTACAGAATTTTGAAGCTGAAGCAGGAGATGACAGGGAATACTACGGATGACTATCCTACCCAGTATGTTGTGACTTAGCTATTGCACTTTTGTTTTCAGCGTCGGGGTGTTTTCTTCATCAGATTTTGGTTGTCAGCTCTGGATGGCTTCGATTTTAACTCCTCGACTTAGTTCTACTGACACAAGGGATTCTCCATAACAGACTCAGAAGTTTACCCACAGAGCACGAGCTGCGCACTATGTGTGGAGAGGATGAGTTCTATACATAGGTGAAAAGTCAAATGCTCATCTTTCAAAAACAACATCGGAATATGGGCCACCCAAACCTGACTGAACCTATGCCACCATCATCGAGTATTCAGTCTGGAAGTAAAGCTTGGCATGCAATGCTTTGGTGCAAAATTGAGCTGGGGAAGGATATGTACTGTACATTGTGCATATACATATACATCAGGGATCAATTCAAATTACACATCTGTATTAGGTTGTTGCTCTTGGAGGAAGAAAGTGAGAATAAAATGGAGAACTAAGGGGGGATAGGGGATGACAAAGGGTATGGGATGAAAGCCGTCTGAAACCTTGTTCTTTATCTCTTCGGTAAACAATCCCATCTCCATTCTAAAAAATAATGCACGGCTTTGTTCAGCAAGTTATCAACGAGCAATATCTGTAATTGCAGAGGGGACCTCCTTCGGATTACGCATATAGTGATAATTTCCTGGCCTGTCAATTATTTTTTTTAGTCCCTGTATATTAAATATAAGTATTTAGTTCTCTTTTATATATGTTATAAACAATGTAATTGTTCATTATAGAATTCAAGATGGCGCCAAGGGGTTTTCAAAGGAAATTAATGATACGGAGGTTTGGAAATATATATTTGTATCCTGGAACCAGGCTCATTAAGAATTACAAGCCACAATATGCGAATCCGATTAATGGAACAGGTAGAATCAAAAGGAAGATTAAAAAGAAAAGGAACGAAAAAGAACAGACGAAAGAGCAGAAGATAACAGACAAGGAAAATTAATATGGTAGGGCAACATTTCCCTCCTTTCAAGGCTATAAGCTGATTTTGCTGTACAGGTCTCCCAGTTCCAACTTTCACAAAGATCACTTTTAAATATTTCCAAAAGTGAATGTAGCCCAGTTCACGGCTGGTCCGGTCTCTGGGGAATAGATCTGGTATGGATTCTGGCCCCATTCTGGGTTGCTGATACCGTCAATCCAGCCCTCAGTCTCGATGACGATACAGCCATATTTGTTGATAACATCCACATACTCGTAACCACCTTCCATTTTATTCCGGTTGGTCTGAGATTTCTTGACAGGGATAGTCCCGTTCTGATTATTGCAGCTATAGATTTGAACAGCCTTTTGGTTCGTAGTGACTTGCATGCTGATCCCAGTGGTGCGGGACGCCATCCTCAGAACGACAGCCATAGTTTCCGGAGACGAGGTCCAGTCTGATTCACTATTGGGGCGGTCAATGATGAATGCGTTGTCATAACCTGTACAATTGGCACCACAATTCTTAGCCGAGGCGATGTCTTTGCCAATGAGCTTGGGCTGGGTGAAGTCGAGGGCACCGCCAAATGCCGTTGCGGTATCCGAGAGTTCGCCTGTTGGTATTGCGGCGGAATCGATTTTTATAAATCTTTTTGACAGCGGCAGCTGCAAGGTAGTATCCTCCAACACGTTAGGCTTCTTAAACCCATTTAGGTTCCAGTAAATATGGTGTGACAACATGATGGGCGTCTCCTCCGTTAAGGCAAGTGATACGGTTTTTGCGGTCAGTTTGGTTTCGCATTTTGTGTCGTCTTTAGTGCATGAAGAACGAACACTGAGGGTGGCATATGTGATAACTTCACCTGGGAAACCTTCAAAGCCGGTGTCGAGGAGACTGAAGGTGATAGAGTTTTCAGTGTGATTTACCACCGTCCAAGGGCGCTGATCATATCCGATAACACCTCCATGGAGTGTCTGGGTGTCATGGTTTTCATTCTTTGTGATGTCGTATTTAACACCGTCGAGCTCAAAGGAGCCGTTTTTGATTCTGTTGGCGTATCTCCCTACGATGCAGCCAAAATACGTATGGTTGGTCTCAGTGTCGATTTTATATTGTTTCGGGTCATCGTAACCGACGACAACATCCTGTTGCTTGCCATCGCGGTCGTTGACTAGAAGTGAAGTTAGGGTGGCACCATACGGAATTAATGTTGCTTGAATGTTCTTCGCGGAAATAACATAAGGTTGAAATGGGTCTGACGACGTAGTAGGCTTTGAGCTCGCCAGGGGAGGAGCACCCAATAGCAGCACGGACGAAAGTAAAGCGGGTAGTTTGATATACATTGGGACGATGATGAGACAAGTGATAATGATAGCTAAGAGACTGTAGGTTGTGAAAATGAGATTTTGGGGGATGATAGATGAGGAAAAGGAGAGGAACAATTGAAGACCACTATATAATTTCTTGCATTCCATGGCCTTCTCCAACGGGAGGGAAAACGCGAGGGGAGACTGAAAATCAGTCACTTAGTGACATTCCAGGCGCAACAGGGATACCATGGAATAGAAAGGCTTAGCGATGATGTCGAATGTTGATTGGGCGTTTCCAGGGAATAGAAGACAAAAAAGCTGAACTCAATACACGCAGGGTAAGGCTAGTTTCTGCACGGGAAGACAAAGCCTGAGTGAAATTGCAATGTAGTTATCATTTTTGTGCCCTTTTGGTGGTACTGTACATTTGCCCATGCAGGGTGTGCCGGCTTCTGGCTCAGATAGCCTTTGGTGAATGTACCAGATCTCCGGCTTGGATACCTGATTTTGATTAATTTTTTCTCCCTCTGGAAACAAGGATTCGGATCCGTTGACTTCTGGAACGGAATGGGATATTCCCCGTTATTATACGCTTCTCTCTAAGTTTAAGTGTAATAAAAAGTGTATTTATATGCTTCAGTAGAGCAATAAACTACTCCGTCGCCTAGGATGGCCCGATATATGATGCGCATCGTCCTGAAAAACTCGGACGTCGAGTTAAAACCACGCACAGCAGCAACTGCAGTTGGGTGGACTACTGCGCCAAGCGATGTCATTTGGCACTCCGCAAATGAGATCGTCATCATGTCTGAAATATTGTTGGCGCACCAAGAATGATCTGCAGCTTTCAAGAAAGGTGGTTGCTGGTAAGCTGCAGGTCCAGGATTGTTGCGCAAAATCTTGTTTGGCACTAGAATACTGCTTTCAATTCGATACGCTTTCATGGAAACATCGAATATACAGATATAAAGTTCAAAAGATACAATCGATATTCGATAAAATTCACAAGGGTACCATGGTAGGTTGCGGGAAGAAAAGAAGCATAACATAGTGCCCCACTTATTTCCTTCCTTGGTATTGTGAGAGTTGTGAGCCAGAAACTTTATCCGTCATTACGGAATATAATATTTCCGTTTCCGAATAGGTGTAAACAAAGCGCACGTGCCACGATCCCGAATAGGCAAAGTCGCCCAATCCATCAGGGCCATAACATTGAACAAGTGTGGCGTTACTGTGGACGGTGCATAACAACTGTCTGATCAAATTATCCAATGTTTAATGGCTTATCTTCCCTGGCGATTTAACGTGACTATACCATCATCTATGGCGTGCAATATCTCGCCCTGATGGAATAGCCGGACAAATCCCTACCCGACAGCCGCGACTCAATTTCCACTTGGAAATCTCCCTAATGAACCCCTCCGGATCGCGAGTCCAAAGTCGCAATGGATGATAAGAGTGATAGCTCGTCTCCCGATCCACTGGGCTACCCCGGCGACCCAGATTATATCCTCTCCTCAGCGACGAAGCCCTTTTTGCGACGTGGAAGCACTTTTTCGCCACGAAAGTCCGTTTCGCCTATCAGGAGCCTATCACCCACTAAGGCTGGGAGGAGCGCGCGGTCCATTAGATTTGAAGATATAATTCTCCCTTCTACTCCATCCGGGCGTTTTAATGGCAAACATAGATTATCCCCAACGAAAACGGCAACGCTAAATTCGGAGGGTAATACCAGTCCCTGGAGGATCCGAGTGACGGTCGAGGCAGAACAAGATGAGGGTGATGAGAATTTTCCAGGGAGCATGCGATCAAATGTGAAGTCGCGAAGAGGAAGAACAACCAAAGTGCCTTTAAAGGATGAAAATAGCCCCTCGGAGCGAAGCCCTAAAAAAAGACGAACGGGAAAATCGGACCTGTCGCAACGGGTTCCAACACCTCGAAAACGACGAAGCAGGGTTGAAACCCCGTCAGGAAATACGAGCACTACTCAAAAGACAAAGCGAGGAAGGCCTAGGAAAAGCCAGGCTACAGTGGAAGAAAGCAATGTGACAGACAACAAAGTCACATTTGCCGATTCGGTACGGAAAAAGATGCAGGAAGAAGATCCTTTTCTGGACATTGCGACGGAAGATAAAGGAACCAACCACGCCGCTGCCGATAATACACTTCCAGGGGTTTTTGACCCGAGTCCCGTTCCTGATTTTATTCCTACCCGCGGTTATGATAGATCGTCCCCAACGCCAAATGAGAGGACTAGCTCGCAAAATCCTGACTCCCGGTTTGGAGTGGAAAACTCAGTTCCTGATGCTCCCACGAGCTCTACCTCCTCTCCATACTCTCCACGATTACATACCGGCCTCACTCCCGAAAACACAATCGATGCTGGGCATACTCCTGGTCCACAGGTTAGAGGATATCCTACCCCGACCTCGTCATCCTTATTAGAAGAAGGTATTACCGACATCCCTACGGGCCATACTTCAAGTCCAAAAATACAACAACACGAACCAGTCCTTCAGCCATTAAGTGACCCAACAAACCAACATCGAGAATTTGACTCGATTCTAGAAAGTGAAGGTTTCAGCATGGTGTCACTTAATACCTTGCCCTCGGCGAGCCAGCAGCTTAGTAATTCGTTTCAAAGAGCCGTGAACCAAGGAATGATTAACAGTATGAAGAAGGCATCAAAGAAAGAGATGCTAAGCTCGTCGAAATCTGAAGCTCGACACTCTGAGCTATCTGCTTCTGGCAATTCCGATAAAGCTAGTGGATATATGTCCTCTTCACAACCTCAACCAAAGTCACAACTATCGCCACAGATGGGAAGGGATCCACGAGAAATCTATGAAACTCCAGGAACAGGGTTTTCCTCACAGCAGCCCCCCGAACCCGCCATTCAGCCCTCACGGCCTTTTAAAAAGACACGACTCGTGAAGTTAGTACGAGTAATAAGAGCAGGTATTGCGCTTCAGGGAGTTCTTAATCGACGTAGGAGGAATTCGCGGCTGCAAAGCCCCTTCTCAAGCCCAGGCCATACTCGAGTAGATGATTCGGAATCTGTAAAGAAACGTCTGGATGCACTCTTTCAGGGATTTGGTGTTGAGACAGAACGAGAACTACGTGCCGGTCTTCGCTTTGGGGAAAAACTTGCGAAGCTTCGAGAGGTTGAGAGCAGAAGAAGGCGTGATGAACCAGGACCGGTAACTATATCACCAATGACACCAGATGGCTTTGCAACTAATGAGCGAAATATCGTGGGGCATCCAGAAAGGAGCAGTTCTGGAAGGAAATGGATATCTTCGGATTCGGCGAAGGAACGAACAAAGAGAAAGCTGGATAGGGGTTCTGTGCAACTTACGAGTAATCCCAGGAACCAAAATCAGTCTCCCCAGCTGTCGATTAGCCGAGAAATGGCGCGACGTGAAGCACTGTGGCAGCGTGAGAGAGATGCAATTAGTCACCAAATACAGGAGGCAAATTCGAGCCAGGTTATTGTTATTGATAGTGACCGAGGTAGTTCAGAAAGTGATAATCCAATCAATGAAGGGGCCGAGGAACACAATGAAAACGATCCTACGAAAGAAGGAGATTACGAGGATATATGGCAGCAAGAAGCTCGTGAAACTGAGATCCAGTCAGAGTCAGCGTCATTCATCGAACTTAGTCGGGAAGAACTTATCAAGCCCCCGCGGAGGGTGCTTCCAAGCCCGTGGAAACGCAACGGAGACGTTGTTAATCTCAGCCAAGACGAAGAAGGAACTCCTGGTCCTGGTCCATACTGGAAAACTCGCACCAATGGATATCCTATATTACCCAGCGGGAAAAGCCAAACCGCAAGATTCAGAGAACAAAATGTTGAAAGTTCATCATTACTGGGCTCTCCAGAAAGCGCCACAAGGAGATTTTATCTGGTGAATAATGTTTCCTCTGAAGGCAAAACCAGCCGGTCTGAACAGCTTGAGGACCTGCAATTTACGCCTAAAATAACCTCGAGTCCTACCTTCGTAGCTTCCTACAGGCGAGATGAGACCTCCCGCACTGATGACCAAATCTCTGACGCTAATGCTATCCATCATCCATGGGCTCCTTCACCTGAAAGCAGCAAAATTGATATGGGCCACACGAGTCCAGATAATGTCGACGTATATTCTGAGCCTCCAGTGGAGGATGGCCATTTGTATCCGGAATTGCCGTCTAATTCGGTTCATTCGTCAAGAAACAGTCCAGTTGATGAAGAGCAAATAACTTCCAAATCAGAATCACAAAACTCGACCCCTCGAGCCCGCAAAGATGACCAGCGTGATCGGGAACCGTCTACTCCCACCGGAGCACAGCAGGAGCGTCGTCCGTTATCTTGGTTCAACAAGTTGACAGACCTTGCTCCATCGTGGCTTACCACTCCAGCCTCTCGAAAGGTTGAAAGAAGTCAACCAGAAGCAGTCAGCAAATCTGCGTTCGCTGTATCCCCGAACCGTGGTCTTTCAATCCAGAGCGCGTCTGTTCAAGGGTCTCCTACTCAAAATCATTTAGTTTCAAGGCCACCAACTCAGCCTCCTCCAATTGAGAGTTCTCCGATTCAGGAATTGCCAGTACAGGAACCAATTGCTGAAGATGGCCATTTACGAGTACCACCAACAGAGTCTCGAGCGGAAGGCTCTCCGGCCCATCGACACCTTCATAAATCCATCAACAAGATGACAGTTGACGCCGGAACCCAATTCTCCTCTCCATTAATACCGAAGCCAAAACCTCGAATTAGAGGTCAACAAAGACAACCGCCCGCGCAACACAAGGCATTGCCAATCTCAGGCTATTTCACAGATGACCATTATACCGCACTGCGCCATCTATACCACAAGGCAAAACGATCCCCTGGTTCCTTCCGCTATATCGAGACTCTAGGTCGAAAAAAATTGTTAGGTCAGCGCATATATTCCGCTGATGGCGTGTACAGCCGTCGGATTACAGAAATGCAAATTGCCATTGTGGATAAATTCAGACGGAACTTGTCTGTTGACAGTAGGAAACGCGGTGGAACTGGGAAGGTGGAATGGAGTGAAGCAGAGCTTTTGAGGAGATTGTTCAGCATAATTGTAGGTGAACATGTGAGGAGGGAGCGGAAAAGAGATCTTGAACAGCAGCTTGCGGACCTACATGAATAAACCAGTCATTCCACTTCCTCAGAAAAGAATTTTTAATCATATTTTGGGTTATGGACGTTTTGGGGATTCGCCGCTGGTTCTTGTTTCGAAATACGTTCCACGTTGCATTCTTCCCACGTTGGTTCATCCTGACGCGCAACATGATTCATGGCTCGCCAGCATCTTATTTTCATTTTATATTTCGATACCGGATTTCAGTCATTGGTGCTTCAGGATGGTTGGACTTCAAGCATTTGGTGTTGCAGGCCTTCCTTTTTTCGGCACATTTTAAGCATTTTGGTTGATATGTTTACAACCCACATTGTGGTGATGAACATTGTTCTTTAACTGCGTATTCCATCTTACCTTTCAATTATTTTCGCCTGTTTTTTTTTTTATTCCTGTGTTGCTCATGAACACTCTGCATAGGTGTGCAATTGTTGGAGCTGCCGGATTGTTATAGTACTTGAGACACGATGGGTATCTATTCAAAAATACCCATCTACCTGTGGGTGCTTTCTGCTTGCAAGCCGAATGCGGGGCACGATATGCTTTTTGTGTACCGTAATGTGTGCTCTCTGTATCCCATTTCCATTTTGTATATTCATGGGAAAACTCAATGAAATATATGTCTGCTTGTTCTCTTTATGTAACATGAGTGAATACATCCTCTGAGTCAGACCGTGACCTCAAGAGCCGTATTTATCATACTTATTTCCTTTTTTCTGGGCGAGAATCTCCAGAGTGGTCGGGTCATATAACACCCAAAGACAAGCTCTCGCTGATCCGATTTTCTCTCTCACTCTTCTTCACTACTCTTTAATTCTCATCAACTTAGAGGCCTACATTTCTCTGAGTTGTTCATCCTCCCTAGTCCCCAAATCGCCATTCATTCTTCTACAGGGCAGCCATGACTTGGCGAGTTCAACCAGAAGGTGTGTAAGATCCATCTATGAATGTTGCAGTCCCAATTTTCCAGGTAAAATATTGACAAAAGTTCACTTCTTTCAAGAGATACTTGAACAGAACTCCAACCCCAGTGAAGCTATGAACCAAGTCAATCGTAGAGAAACGGCTGAGAAGTGGGTGTCTGACATGATACGTGACGCGGAAGGGTATCATTTATATAATGAAGGGGATAGAGAGCTGCTGTTAAAATACGGAAACAACACGGACATCAATCCCGGAAACGGATTTAAGGAAGAACCCAAGCCAACGTACGAAACTACTGAAGGAACCCACAACGCGGTCCTCTCCAATCGCACCACTAAGTTTACGGGGACAGCGGATGCCAGACGCCTTTGGAGCGCTGCCCATGAAAAGGAGCTCAAGCGTTGTCTTCTCGAAGATAGGAAGTGTCCTATGGAATGGGATGCTAACGACCCCCGGTTTGCACACGTGAGTAGACACCCATTAACTTCCTATCATTATGCTGAAATTCTTCAAAATATCGTTAAAATAGTCCATTAAAGGGGGGGTGAAAGAAATCCCAAGGAATACTTCCGTATCAACTAAAATTTCAACTTATATAGATGGTCAAGCTCATGGAGAAAAAGGAGGCCCATGACGAATTTACCAGACATCGCGCATTTCACGAAATGAATGAAGGTTGGATGTACCGAACCATCACCAGCGAACGGATAAAAGCCAGGAAGGCGATGCCGATGGGTTTCTGCCATATCGTGAGTAGTGGGCTAAATTTCGTTACCATTACGATTCCATATCTTCTCTAGCCATTTGGTTTGGTCACTAGTTTGATGTTAGATTATATCTGAAGTTGATTTGGGCAACAGACCGCAAATGAGAACTCTCCAAACAACCACAAGCACGAAGACTAGGAGACGGTGGCTGTCGCCGTACGATCGATCACTTGTTGCAAACTTGCGTACAAGGTAAAGTTTTGGACCAACTGAAAGCTGCGGTACAGTATCCTTGCGACCTGTCTGGGAAAAAGTGATGTTTTCCACTTGTGCTGTACATGATAATCTCGTTTTAGTAGACCTATTCTCAAGAGGTGTGCTCGCTCTTCTTTATAGTTCGTGTCATTGTTTCCAATATAGCTTATGATTGCTTTCCTAGCGGAACTGACATGCTAAATGCTGGGAGCCTTACAATCGTATGAAGGAAGGACTTGTACTGTATGTACTTCAGTGTATTTCGTGCGGGCCCTAGTGACGCTCACATCATGCGATTGATATCTGCCAAAAAGCGATAAATACACTTGAACCCGTGTACTTTCTTCATTGGCTATATGTTGATCAGAGAGTTATTAATTAAAATACTAGGGATAAAACCCGTAATCTATTGATGGCTGGCGATATAAGGATGACCCAACATAGCGAAAAAAGGTGTAGATAAATCTCAGGGCACGAACAAAAGTCGAGACCTCCCCCCTCGTTCTTTGGAAGACAGAAGAAACAAACTCTCTAAGAAAATCGGAATATCGTCTGGAGGTATTGTACTATTCATGATAAGCTTTTACTCTCGGCCTACATCCTCCAGCCATTATGTCCACTGATGACTAACAAACATATCACAGCATATAAGGAGTTACTTCCGATCACGAATCCTAGGATTGGCATCTGCCGATTCCCAGCACTGGAACTAGACGGAGTAGCACTGGCTTTCCCACTGGCTTCCCCACTGGCTTCCCCTCTGGTAGAAGTTGGATTCGTCTGGCCAACACCAGATTGCCCGATGGACGGTAGATCAGCGCTAGGATCGACGTCCCATGAATGAGGAGTTGAACTGGGGCAGGGCGGGGCTGTAATCTTTGATACCTGACGGGAATAGTCTGACAGCTCAACACCAGTGGGGGACAGAGAGGCGAAACGGGATTTCAAATTTGTAAAGTCTGGTTTAATAGGGGTGGGAGTACCACGGCGGGAGAAACCGTCGAGAGCTGACGGATTAGACTTGTCACCTTTGGGCGGCTTCCCGTATGTAACCAGGCCATAATTATTCAGCTCCTCTATCCACTCGTACACCATCGCGCCAGACCACGTCCCTGTCATCTCTGGCCCAAGGATAGCATTGAGATCCTCGAACTCGCGTGGTCGGACGGTATTGCAACCAGTTTCGGAAAAGAAAATCGGAACGGGGTAGCCCTCTGCTTGGTCATTCAAGTTGCTATAGCCAGAAACTTCAAATGTTGATTTACCACACCATTCGTAAGCGTTGAGAGCAAAAAAGTCTAATCTTTCAGATTCATCTTCCCGACAAACCAGATAGTTCTGCAACATAGGGCGCAGCTCTGCAATATCAGCAGCGGAATAACCGACCGGTATCTTCCGATAGTTCTTGGAATCACGATAGGCCTTGATATCTCGAGTTGCAGATAGAATATACGGAGCTGCGATGGAATCATTTGCTGTGGTGAGAACCTCATTTCCCACGAAGACTCCGGCTGTGTTGTCGTACTTCTGAAATTCATCCAGGGTTAATTTGAACGCGTCGAATTGCCTTTGACTCCAAATAGGGGATTTCTAATTTGCAGAGGTTGATTTATTATCAGCTTTTGGTCAAATAAGTAAATGTCACTCTATACAGGTCTATTTCTTGGATCCTGTTGGCCAATGGCACATACCCCTTCGATTTGGGTTGGAAAGTCGTCCAAGTCAACAAATAGGTATATCCCTGCATCTGCGAACGTCTTCATGCACTCTTCATGATCTCCTTCGGGATCAACATGATAGACTCGGATAGCGTTCGCACCAAGCTCCTTCATCAAGGAAGAGTCTAGTTTGCACTGTTCCGAGTCCACAAGGGGGTCTTTAGGAGTGAGCTGGTACGCAATTCCTTTTCTCTAAAAATTAGAATGAGTTCACCAATGAGATGATGGTGACCAGAATAAATGATACCCTTGACGAAAAACTGCTGTCCCTCTTCATTGAAAAATTTCGAGCCTACAGCAGAGAGCTTTGATATCGCAAGAACATCATGAACCGACAACAATAGGCATGTCCCCACAACTGCAGCGAATGAAGCACTACGGCTCCACATTGTATCGCTGCTAGCAGTGATGCAAATAAGCAGTCGAACAAGCAATTGATGCGATCAGTGATGTTGAAGCCGATTAAGGAAGGAATCAAAGAAATGATGAAAACCACACGCGCTCAATATTGGCTCCAGGAAGGCAGAAATCCTCAGAAGATCTGCGCTTGGCAGAGGCTGTAGTAGTGTGCAATTCCGCAGGGGATTAAACGAGCACACAATGGGCGTAATGGCAGAAATGATACCAAAATGAGTGAGGAAGGGAATGATAATGGAGAAATGGATGGGGGGAGTGAAAGAAGTGAAGTGAGCCAGGACACCAAGAACCCTGTCGTCGGAGTGATTTCATTCCAAGGAGTGTAAGAATTTAAAATCGTAACTCCACTCATCTAAATGACGTGGGGGCTCGCAACAGTTAGAATTTATCCAAGGAAACGTTCCCAATCGTTTTCAATTTATTTGTTTCCAGAGGCATCTCAGCCGGTGCTGGACTTCGCGTATCAACGAAGTCTCGAGCCTCGATATCGCCATTTCGCTGAATGTCTCCAAATTAATCGCTGAGATCGAGCTTGAAAGGACATACTAAGTCAAAATTATCAGCTGAAAGGTCAGAAGTTTCAATTTCAATCATCCTCTGTTCAAAGAAGTAACGTTATCACCAGACCTTGTAATCAAAGAGAGAGGGGGTTTACATGTGTCATAACCATACAACCATAAGGACTGACTGGCTGGGAGCCAAGGCAGATGGCGCGACGGATGCTGGGTGTTTAAATCTTTCTTGACGAAATCCATATTGGTTGCCTAGAATGTAACGTCGATTCCTTTTGCACACTATCGGATAGGTTTGGAAGAAATAAGCTGTCGATTTAAGCTTCATATGCTTGAAAACGGTTCCAGGGTTCTCCTCCGCCCATGCCGAGTCGTTGCCATCGGGAACCATGTGCATCCCGATTCAACGGCGACTTGGGTCATCTACCTCGGAAGCGTGAAACGTACCTGAACGATTGACAGTCTTTTTTCTTTACTTTCGTTACTTCCCATCCCTTTTTTAGGAAAACAGAAGATGCAGCAGGATGTTTATGTTCATCGAACTTTTCTCATTTCCCTTTTCATTGTTGCTCCAACCACCAAGGATGAATGCAATCTCTTAAACCAGCAAATTCTTTGATTCTAAGATTATCCTTTCGCCATTGGACTTCATCCACAAACCCCCTGGCTACGTTACAAAGACAAAAGGATCGGTACATTAAACACGGACATAATCTGGGCGTTTTAATCCTATTTATATATAACCCGAAAGTTTTTGAGCTCTCTTGAAACGAACCTCTCCGAGGATACGAATACCGTGTCAATTAAGCCGGAAACATCATTTCAAATTTGGAGCTCTTCTTTGCCAGTGAAACACTGTCATAGCTGGGAATTATACAGATACCATGCAGGACGGTTACACAAATTTATTATACAATAAATTCTTAAACTGCTGGTAAAATGATGGAAGTCATAAATCATCCATGGTTGACATTCCATCTCGCTTATTATTACTTGGACAGTCCCACTTTTGGAGGGCAGAGAACGAACCCGCTTTTGTTTTGCATACTATGATGTATAGTATATTTGGATCATGAACACGGACCGGCGAACAACAAAGACGAGACCACAGAACCTCCGTTTTATTGTCGTGTGCCCTCCTGAAGAGCATCTAGAACATCTCGCACGGCCGTGCTTAGGTCATACTGGGTACGGCCTCCCTTCAATCTTGTTTCCTTTTTATTTCCGCAACGTTTCACCAAGGGTAGAAAGGAGAGCGTTATCCACCTACTTGTTTTTCTGAAACGGAGCCCACATATGTCCACTTAGGTAACCTGTTTTGGTACCTGTTTTGTTCGTACAGTACGTTATTACCGGCGTGATCATAAAACATCAGATAGAGAAATATAGAGGTCAACCAGACATAGATCAGGGCCTTTTATGCGCTTTTCACCGCCCGCTGGTAAACCTGTGCTTTTCTGTTCCCTGTTAACTCTTTTCTCTGATCTGCCAAGTTAAATTCAAAGGGAATTCGTGCGATATTGAAAGATGACTGGTCTCGATAGCCAGCATCCGGACCTCTCCCAACAAAAACATTTCATCTTCATACTGCTGAGGAAATACCAACGGTAGATGGGATCACAAGTGAACAGTGCCAACACACGACGATGCTCGGAAACACTTGCTGTTCATGGCAGGGGCCCGAACAATCCCGAGTTCTTGATATTCTTGATACAGTGGCGATCAATAATATGAACCTGTGACAAGCTTGGCGTTCCCCCGTTAGGTAGGTTACCAAGTTTGAGAGATATGTTTGCAATGGATGAATGAATAACATCAATAGAGCCATTCACTTGTTGAGCCTTGGATTCGAAATCCAAACAGTGCAACACTCTCACTACGCCTGCTGAGCAAGCTGTGAGCGGGGTTTGTGAACCGCAACTCATGTTCTCTTGGTGAGTACTAAGCGCGACTGAGAATGGAGGAGACAGTATCACAACTTGGCTATACCATTTGGATATTATCAGTCGGCTTGCCAAACAACGTCTGTGCCGAGGGGCACTGCAGTCTAGGATTTCTGTGTTTCTCAGTCAAACTCAATGACCAGGTAGAAATTTCAACAAAATCCACAAACAAACACTCTTTCTGAGTTCTTAGAGCCCATTATTGCTGGCACTTTCTAACCCGACAACACGGGATGATGTATGAAGCAGTTGGTTACAAGCCACGAAATCAACAAAAGGCTCCATTTGTCCAAGGGGAATTTCTAGCTGAAATGACCTTTGTGCGGGAAATTCATTCGGGAATCTAGGGCATCGATAGCAATACGTGCCAAGAGGGGAATGGCTCTCCCGTGGTGTGACAGACGCACAGATAGAGAGGGCAGAACGCTTTCAAAGAAGCCAGACTTGCATCTCCTAGGTTAGTTATCCGAGCTCACAAGGCGGGAAAGAGAAGCAAGGGTTCCGCTGAGAACACAATGAGCCAAGAACTGTGCCGTTGCGATCCTACCTAGTCTCAGGTGTGAGGGAAGGAATAGACCTGTGGCGCATGTTTCCCCTCGATATGTTTGGGGTTTCTTGCTTCTTAGCTTTCTCGATTTTTTCTTGTTGATTACAGCAGAATACACCGAACCATGTCGTTCCATAACTTTTACCAACATGCCCTGACTGACGAGCTGGTGGGGCTGGCATTGATTGGTGCTCAAGTTCCTATGGGCGGGAGACAGAATTGCGTGTCCTTGCCCCAGAATTATGGGTCGATGGGGACCAATTGCCCTGCATGAAACGGTCAATAATAAATAGTCGTCACGGAAAGCTGGAAAAAGCAAGGCGACGCCAAATCTCGGTAAATGTTCTCCGCACATGGGGCGATCGTGATTGATCCTCCTCGCTTGGCACTCTCCCATCAGTTTAAAGATGAATTTAAATGGTTCGTTCCGACGGACTCGAACTTTAAGCGGGCAGCAGGCGCGCTTCTTTTTGGCATGATCATCATGTTGCAACTCCGCCTCAGTCCAAATCGAGCCAAATGCATTTCAGTTTTATTAGTAGCTTTTCACGCAGCGACAGAGTGCACCTCTATATCAGGCTACCAGGCAAAGCGGAGAAGCTTGCAGGCGATCTGTGATACTTCTCTTATGCCTTATTTGTTATCTAGCGAATCATGTGGGCACTTCCCCTCAGCAGTAACGAACCCAGCAAGATCTAGCCCGCTATTGGCTGGAGTTCTTGACAATATTAGCCTCGAGCTTTGCGAACCATTCAACCCAAAAAGCGGAACTCCCAGAAGCCTTGAGAGGCAGGGGGAAGGTAGGTGGACGCGCGCAGCTAGCCGAGTGATCGATTTTGAGTCATATCCCCAATCATCCTATGAATCCCCCTTGGAACCCGATACTCCAATTTTGACCCGGTAATTTATTTATTCCCGCCTACTTCATGCAGTGCCTCGCCCTAGGGCTGAAATTTCCTCGCAAGAACCGGCCAGTTTGGTTTTCAAAGAGCGAGCCCAAGTGTGATTATGGCTCAATAAAGACGGACCCAGAACCTGCATCCCGAGAAAAAGGGACGCTAGATTCTTGGCAGAAGGCATGCTCGTTTTGTCCAAGAAGCAAGGGGGAGCTCTGGACGCTATACCTTGCTTCCACCATATGGGATCTCAGGTGGTTTCGAGAAAGCGTGCCTCAGCACGAACAAATGCGAGTCTCCGGGTCACTGCCGGCGCCGCAGCCACATCCACGAGAAGCCGAATCCCGTGGTAACATCGTTGCTCAGCATGGTGCAACGAGTTCAGTCTCACTCTCTCGGGATCTAAAGCAAATGGCGAGCTAGGCTGAGCTTTAATTTGGTTGGCAGCCAACTCAAGCCTCAATAATTTTCCTCTGTGCAAAGTGTTGGGCGGAGGAATTACCATCCCGAGTATGCGGCGCTCGACCGCATGCGTTACATATTTTCTCCTTGGGTCCCATGCCGCTGTGCCAATTTCTTTCCGCTCTACAATCCCTATTAATAGTAGCTGCCAAGCGAGAGATTAAAAGATGATGGATGAGAAGGAGGAGAAGAAGGAGAGGATACAGCAGAAGAACTTGAAGCGAATTAAGCAGAACTGGCAGGGTGGGATCGTGACTTGTTGATGCGAGGGGGGGTTGAGCCGCGGCTGTACAGGGATGAATCCATGCAACAAGAGATCTGTGCGCTTGCGCTCTTCGTATATTCCTCTTTGGGCTTGCCCTTTTTTCCTTTTTTTCTTTTGCCTTTCCCTTCGTTTATCAAAACTTCAGAGCTGAGATGGAGGGATTTGCTGGGAAAGTTCCGGCAGACTTTGTGGACGGGGAAATTTATCCCCCTATTGCACCTGCATGGTTGCGAGCAAGAATGGGTAGCCAAAAAGAACCTGGCAGCTTTTACTACGGAACTACGCAGCACATGGGCAGACGAACAAGTTTGTAGGACGCCATGTCAAAAAATTTTGGTCATGGGACATTTTACCTCCCATAACTTACTCTTCCCAAAGCTCAAAGAACTGTAGAATCGAACTCAACATTCGAGAACGTGATGATTGTGCAGATTATGTATTCGCCAAAACTAGCCCCTGTTTCTAGGCTGCAAATTCCCCCATTTTCGTATCACTTCCCGTCAGCTAATGCTTGTTTCCCTGATCTACAGTTTTGCTACGAACCCTCTGTCAGGACAAGCCTGCGGATTGCAGACTAGGTAGGCACTTAGAGTAGGTCAATCAACTATTCAGTTCCTCCTCCGTATGTTCCTGTCGACTAGAGTATTTGTCATTGAAAAAGACCAGAGTGGCAAATCGGACCCTTGAGATTTTGCTCGTTGGATCAGGCTATTTTCCTTCAGAGAAATTTGACAAGGACAAATCAGACCTTCCCGCTGTCATGAATTTTTCATCGCTATGCATGTAATACCCTAAATTAAACTCTTGTTGCAAAACTCCACATCTCTCAAATAAAAAGAAAGAAAGGGAAAAAAAATCTCACTTAGGATCGTCAAGATATTTATCGAATGTGTCTGTATGTACGGTACAGTACAGAGTACTTACGCAGGGGCCGATTTGCATCCAGAACACCCCGCGGTCCGATTTTTTATTTCAGCCCAACTCCAGCAACTAGCGCCGTGCCAAGTTGTCGTTTTCCTTCGAAGAATCCCAACCCAGCTCTCGACAGCTCAAAACTTCCTGTTGCGGCAATCGTGGAGAGTTTTGCACCACGAGGTTGTCCCAGTCCCAGTCCCCAGTCCCATTATCGCACCATAGAAGGGTTACCTTACCCCCGTCCTTATTCAACGTGAGGGATGCGGGATGGGCCTCGACCTCGCCTACATGATCCCGCCCTTGTATTACGGACCTGATGGACTGGTGCGCTATATCTTTTGACCCTTTACCCCAAAATATTCAACTTGCTGAAGTAGCCCTTATTAAGGAGCGGGGTGGGGGCAATTGGGGTCCGGGCGGGCAGTGGGGAGCACACTGATGCGTGGGTGGGGAAAGTCCTTGACGACCACAGGAGTCAGGCAGGCAGGCAGGCAGGCAGGCAGGCAGGCAAGCAGGCAAAGTCCCAAGAAAGCATAATAGATGATCCGGGAAGTTAGGATTTCTTATTTATTAGCCCCGTGAACCCCCTCTGTACTTGGGGCGCATCTACATCGCACGAGGGTTTGGTGTGGCTTGGTGCCGTCTGTTCGCTTTCCAAGCCGGGGTGATACACTATTGCGGATTTCTCCACAGCGAGCGTTCTCTCTTTTTGCCCCTCAGAAACCCAAATTCCAAAAGAGGGAATAAGAAATGGGAAGCATAGGATAGCAATGGGCGGGTCTGTTACGGGTGCCTGGGGACACATCCACGATTGGATGGGAACCGAGCAGCCGGAGCTTGAAGCTGTGGAGAGAAGTGCAAACTAACTTCTACATGCCTTTCCAGCCTTACCTCCTTACTGACTGCAGGATATGGTCAGGATACGGACGGAACCATTATATGGGCGCAATCATAGTTCAGAAAAAAAGACTTTTAAAATTAAATTTTGTCTCTGATACCAAGTTTGTTTGGAAAATTAAAATATGAACTTAATTGACAAGTGGCACATCGTGCGAAGCTTTCATAGAACTAGTTAGGTAAAATTACCAAAAAGAAAAATAAAACAGAACGTAAAAGAAATAAGAAATAAGAAAGGCTAAATATAGTCAATATGTTGGAATAATTAAGGAAACAAAAATAATGAAGCATATTAAGTTAGGAGAAACGAAGTTGTGAAAATCGTGGCGTGGTGGGACCAACAAGTGGTTCGTGCGACGGCGAATGATATGCGAAGTATCAAGACATCTATCTGTCATGCCAAAGGCAGCCCCATCATGGCACCCACGGGCGTCCCTAGACACTGTCATCATGTCATAGAGACCCTTTAGATCGTTAGGACCCCGGACAAGGACCATGATGGCACGGATATCATCATGCCACGGAAGATCCCCGTGTACTGTCCGTATGCTGCTCGTATAATATGAAACATTCAATGTCCATTATGTCTCAGAGGCCCTCGGGAATCCTATGATATATAAGGAGGCTCTAAGCATTTTTGTCGCGGTTAAGTGGATTTCCCTTTGGAGCAAAAATTCGTAACAGGCAAAAAGGGTAGAGATGGTTGAGATACTTTTTATATCAGGTGATATTACTGAATTACTGGATCGCTGAGTTCTCTGTAACTATGTGCTTGTACTTGATAGCCATAGTATCGACTTTATCAAAGCGGATGGTGAATTATGCCACGGTTGGTGGCTGCACTCGTGGCAAAAGTATTCAGCAATGCGAGCGAGCACCAATGTCAGGGAGTAGTTTCTCTTAACTCAGATGCTCCAGTTTGAAGTTTTGAAGAAACAACTTGAAAGTTGGGCTTTCTCTTCTCTAAACCCATGCTAATCAACACCCAGTCAACCAACTACTAGCAACTAGTCAACTTGTTAGTCAATTAGTTAACTAAAGAATAAACATGAGCCGACTAAAAGCAATCGGCCTCGAGGTTTTCGGCCATCCCCCGCCCCAGGTTCGGGTTTCAAGAAGGCAAAATATGTTTGGATTTGAGTTTATTTTATTTCATGTTATTTTATTTTTATAGTCTAGTCCCTCCCTCGCCGGCGCACACAATGGTGGCGGGAATAAACTTACACAAGACAAGAACCCAGACCAAAAGAAGAAATCGCTCGCAGAATTTCCAGGCATTCTATTGCCCTTTCTCACCTAACCTTTACAGCTTGGAATGGTTGTTTGGCTCATTGATTGTGACATTTCTCTGGAGTCACGGGATCCGGGTACTGGTCGCTGGGAAGGGATGAACGCCGAACACCACACAGTCGATCGGAATAATAACCCGCGTTCATCCAACTCGAAACATGTTGTGGGACACACGGCGGAGCACAGGATTTATACAAGCATTGGGGCCCCAGTCCCACCGCGCACAACTGCACAAGTGCCAGTTGCGGGCCTTTGCGCCGGCATGATCTAGACTGGTCTCGACGGCTGCTTCGGTAACTCTGCCTCCCCATAACGGCAGGGCTGTTGTCGTCAATCGAAATATCAGGCATGTCTTAACGTTTCAGCCTGTGGCTGTGTACGGCACAGACAGCATGGAGGATATTGTTTCAAGCGCCCAGGAATCGTAGAGTATCAATAATAATGATAAATTACAGAGTACTCTGTAATGAGAATAGGCTCTGGCGCAGCCAAAAACGAGTAGCCGCCGTCACCGCCACGATGATCTAGGGGTTCCTCCCGGGGCATAGGGGCCCGCAGGACTGGAGACGGCTGCTTTTAACGATCAGAATAATGACCGTGTCCAGGGTAAGGCCATGTACCGCCCATTATCAACTCCATCGTGGGTGATTTTCAGGACCTGTTGTTGAAACAGCCAAGTCAAAACTGCAGCCCGTGACCTGCTGTTTATTCTTAGGATGTTTACCGTACCGTTACTGCCGGATAGTATCATAATGTACCGTACCGTACCGTACCGCGCCCAGCCCCAGCCAGCCCATCCCGCTGATCTCCGCCAGTCCTGCCCGATTCTGCCGCCGCCCAGCCCAGGCCAGGCCAGGGCCCAGTCTTTCTCCTTGGCGGCCCGGCCTTGTCGCCGCTGTTCTTGACTTGTGGTACATCTTCTCATCCTCATCCTCATCCTCACCTCCGTCCTCATCTCCATCCTGTCTTCCAACTTCCCTCCTCTCGCTTCCACGCCGATTCTTAGCTGTCTCCAACGCGATACGTGCAGTCCTCCCAGTTTTGCTTCTTGCTCCAGCTTCGATACCGCAAACCGTTGCAGCTCGTAGCTTCACCTAGCTTGTTCATTACATCCATTTTCTCCACCCTGTTGTCAAGTTACGATTTCTATCCAGCTTTGTGGGCGTCCTCAGAAAGAGATTCCTCTTAAGAACGTTGCCTAAGTTCTAGACCGTTTCGCTTCTGTTACACGGCGGCTTTCTTCTCATGCTCCGTCGCTGTACGCCTCGAGCTTGTGTCCCTCCCGGAAGCCCGCCTCATTTTGTCGTCGAATTGACTACTTAACTGCTCGACTGTTGGACTTCGGACAACCGCCCTTCTCGTCGTTTGCTCGTCAAATGAATCTCTCAGCAGCACACTCGTGAATTTTCGTGGAAAGTGATATTGAAATGAGTTGCTAGTCATGAAACAACCACTGGGTAGTGTTATCACCAGCGATGCCTCAGGGCCAATTCCTGCAGCTGAAAGATTATGTGCTCTGGATCAGTCCAATGATTCATCGTCCCTAGGAATACAAGACTCAACTACAGTACAACAACAACTCCTACAAACGCAGCGTCTGTTGCCGTTCATCTCCTCCTCGCAACAGGTCCAGAACAATCGAATTCCTCATTCTTCCCTGACTCCCAGAGGGTCCTCCATGATTTCAAAGCGTAGCTCCTCTTGCGAGTCTCTCCGTACAGAGCCATCACCCATGATGCGACTCCTTTCAAGACAGAGCCCCAATCTGCAGCTGCCGTCCTTCGAATCTTTAGGCATAGCCACTTCCCCAAGAACACCTAATCCTCCGACTTCCTCCCTTCAAAATTCTGCAAGACCCCCATTTATCACTTGCAAACCATCCACCATTGCTATTCACACACCATCGCCATCCTATGCCTTCTCTGAATCACATTCTTCGCTCCCCTACAGCCGTTCTCTCTCCCTACCTCTTACACCTCCCGAGGAAACAGGATCTGTCAAATGGAATCCGGAATCGGATAGCCCAATCTCTGATATACATTCGAGTGCCAACCGACATTCGCCATCACAATTAGACAATTTCACGAACGTGGATTCACATTCTCCAAAGGGGAGCAATGGTCAAGTTCCAGACTCGACTTCACAGACCGTACGATCGAATGGGGCCATACAACCAACCATGGAGCAGAATTCGTTCGCTAATGACGATCCGAAGTTATGGCTTAAAAATGGGATTGAACTTGCCGGTATATTCCCCTTCGTTTCCCCTTCGTTTCCCCTTCGTTTTGCTATGGTGTCGGTCCCCTATAACTCAGTCTTCTTTTCCCGTATGTAACTTTCAAATACTGACTTTGAGCAATGCAGTGTCTTCACTTAACATTTCGAAAACACCGGGTCAAGCTGTACAGATGGTGTCTCAAACGCTGCCATGCCCTCCTATCGACCAAACCCCAATCTCGTCCCCTGTTTCTGCATTCAGCGTAATTGTCGAGGAAATCCAATGTCGACTCCAAGCTGACCAATCCCCGTATATCAACATTATTCATGCTGTGCCCCCGAAATTCAGTTTAAATAATTTGCCGACTTCTCCACCCGGTACTCCAAACCGAATGTCTCCAGATGACGACTACTTCAATATGACTGTGTTTTCTAGTGGTGCTCCAGTTCCTGCATATGCCTATCATAGTGACTCCACTTCACAGGATTTGCCATGTGTCCCAGCACCAATTGCACCCCCATATAGTGTGCACATCTCCATAGTCGAACGTTATCTTCCTCCACCATCACCTCAAGAATACCGGAATCTTTTCTCAGCCACTGGTCCGTCCGTTCTCGTGGATCGCCTGCGTGAACTGTCGCCTCAGGGCGGCAACCTCGTGTTGATATATCCAACCCAACAAGGCGCCCGCACATTCAAAAATCAATACCTGGGTCCAATCCTTGACCCCCTTCTTCGTCAAATGGTTGTGGTCAATGAATTGTCTGCAGACATTAGCAAAGCTCTTGGCTCTATGCCTGCCATCGCTGAAATGGATGATTTTGAAACTATGCAGAAAAATATCATGCAGCTCTGCAAAAACCTAAAGCGGCGAGACTCCTTAATGGCCGGCCCATCACCGACTCGCAGTTCTCGTTTTACCGTGGTATATGGTGCCAAGGGTGAAATCTGTATGGATCGCAAATCGTGGATTGAATGGTATATTCAGCAGGAAACGCCAAGGGCGAGGGACATCCTAAATGGTTACTGGCGGGCCGGTTACCAATTTCCAACCAACCTCATGCTTTCGCCGGGTAGCCGTAAGCCGGCGAATCGGGATTTATCTAGCCCATCGCTTTTGCAGGCTCTTTTCCAGGGGCTCCGGAATAGGGCAGATGCCGATGGATCCTGTCTTGGGAAAAACTTAGAGGTTGGCGTATTTGTTATTCGCAGATCGCAGTAGTTGTCGTGGGGTGGCGGAGGGAAGAGGAGGAGAGCCACTGACGGAACAGAAGCGACACAGAGAATGGTGGCTGCTGGTTTGGAGTTTTAAGGGGATTAACTGTTTTTCCTGTCTTTTCTTTTGTCTTTGCTTTGCCTTGCCTTTCTCGTCTTTTCTATTATTTTTGGAAAGGGAGAAAGCAAGGGGAAAAAAAACAACCCCGAAATATGGGATGGAAAATGAAATCTAGGGAAATTTTACTATGGCTAGTGCAGCGACAAGATTCCCCTCGAAGATATTCATACGGAGTTTTTCCTTTTAATTTTTATAATTACTTTTTATTTGTTCAACAGTTGGTCTTATTTGCGCTTTTTTTTTTTTTTTTTTTTTTTTTGAAGCACGAAATATCATCTATCTTCGTAATTCTGTTTTTTTAATATAACAATTCCAAACCCTTTCACTACCATTAATACAGAGTACTCGTTTACACTTTGATGTTTTCGTTCTTCCTTCTTTGGTTCATATGGGGAAAGGGACTGACCGGCGCTATTTATTACTACTATTTATCAGTGTGTTGCACTTAGCACAAATCCTAGTCGCGGCAACTGTATATTATCCTGCATGTTTTGGGAGCGTTTCGAGGGCATATCTATCTATCCATCGATAGAAGGTTTGAATTATCTCTTCTTACCCACAAAGCACTTTCAGTTTATACTTAAGCAGCAGCTGGGCAGTTGTATGTTTTCAAAAAATATCATATTAACTAAGCAATGAAAATAAATTTCATCTTCCCCCCTCGTTCTCCCCCCTGGGACCGCCCCTCTCTTCTGGCAAACTCCTGACTTCGCCAGATAGAAGATGTAAATGTAAAAACAAATAAAGGAAGTATAGCAACATGTAGGGAGGTCGGTTCCAAAAGTTTCGACTCGCACTGGGAATTGAAACTGAAATATTTATACGGGTATTAAGTATTGCCGTTCCATCCCTTAATTAACAGTGGTATTTAGTTAGCCCTTCAGGGGGGCTTCAGAGATGATCAATGCCCGTGGCTTGCTCACTTGCTCACTAAACATCGCCCAGGGTCCCAAGTATGACCGACCCTCCTTTGCACGAGTATCGAGATTTCTGTTTCAATTTTTAGTAGTTATGAGAAAAAAATTTTGAAATCGAACCCCGTACTGCACTGACCAATATCGGAATATCGGGAGAAATGGTAGGTACCGTACAGAGAGTATAATGGACATGATTGAAGTACACGAAGGAAACTTTAAGTACAATAAACAAAAAAAAAAAAAAAGACCCAAGAAATACAACGTACTACAAAAAAGGAGGTTGGTGACGAAACAATGATAAATAAGAAAGGAATGAAGAAAAAAGAGAAAGACAGATCATATCCCCTTCTTCTCCTTGTGGGTTGTATGGACAAGTAGGTCCCTCCCTGTCTCGTACTACAACGCCAAGCCGAGGTTCCAGTTACGCGTAATCGCCAGCTGCCCGACGCTTTGCACAAAAAATTAAGACTTTGAAAAGAAAAATCCTGTACCAAAACTTCAACGAGCGGCAGACCAGCTAATTAGTTTGATGGGGAGTGGGTAATTGCATGTTTCTTGTTTTGTTTTTATTTTGTTTTTGTTTTTATTTTGTTTTTGTTTTTATTTTTATTTTTATCCCTCTTTTCTTCTCTATCTCTTTTTTCAGGATTCTTTACGCGGATACAGTCGAACCAAATGCACATCCATCTGTGCAGGGAAGTCCGGATGCAACGAGCCAAACCTCTCTGAACTTTCCAGAAAGATTCCATCTATCATCTCCCCATGCTCATGTTCGTGATCGTGCGTCGCGTCCACAAGCTCGTTCACAAGACGCGTGTCGATCCAGCCGCGCGGTTTGCTGGCAAGTCTCTCGATACGGGCGAGATCATCCTCGATCTCATCGGGCATGAGTGGCGGTGGCGGCGGCGCCGACCCGGACCCATTGGGCCGCGCGTGGTAGTTTCCGAGGATGAAATACGGCAGGTTGGGCCTTGTGGCTGTCTTGTCAGCTAGTTCGCCTAGTAGCGTTAGCCCCGACGTGCCTGTGTTGCGTGTAGAGCGCGTGGCGTGGTAGCCCTGGCTGGCTGTTCGTTCCATCTCGGGTGCCGCGCTGGTGTCTTCCTGGCCGCTGCCTCCGTCGCCGCCAGAGCCAGCTAGGTCATCGCCATCGGCAGCGTTCTGTCCGTTTGTGCCTGGGGTTGAAGTTTGTTTTGCTCTTTTGGAGGCGGCGAGGAAGTGAAGGGCGGCGACGTGGGCGCTGTTGCTGTGCATTGCCAGTTCTTTTTCGGTGAAGAGGGAGGATATGTGATAGCTGGCGGCATTTTGGTGCTGTGTCATCCGCGCCTTTGTTCGGTCTGCGGGCGTTGACATGCCACCGTCGCGCGCGGGGGAACCGAAATCGTCGTCCATTGGACCCTTCCGTTTCCGCTTATGGGTTGCTTCTGATCCAATTCCATTGCCCATGTCGTCCATATCAACTCTGTGGCGTGTGTGACGGGTTTTGCGGTTACTTTGCAGGCCCCCGGGACTTGAAGGGTTGGCGATAGAAAATTGATTTGGATGCAAGAGGAGGGCGTTGGTATCAGCAAGGTCAAGTTGTTCCTTCTCCTTCATTAGTCTGTTTTTCTTCTGTGAAATTGACATAACCAATCGCTCCCTGATGGTCTCCCCTAGTTTGGCGCATTCCTGGTGTGCGAACTGGATTTTGAAGTCGTGTTCCCGCTTAATTCTTGAAAATTGGTCACGATGACGATTCTATGGAATGCTCGTCAGTACATTGGACATATGGTTTCCTCTGGAGAGCAGAGCACAGAGAGGTGAGAGCGAAAGTGAGTGGGATGCATTCGCTTACCATAAGTACGGCGAGTTCTAGATCTCGCTCTTCCTTCATTTGATTCATTTCCTGTACAAAGTTGGCATACCATTTGCCCGATGGAATTGTTTCAGCTACCAGATGTCCAGCAGCGGAGAGTTTCTCAACGAGTTCCGAGATCATTTCCGGCGAGTCGCTCAACGGTTCCGTGTCATATAGTTGGGAGTTGGAAATTAGGGCCATTTCATTTTGTAGATCGTGGACTTGTTTGCGGAAATAGTAATCGCGCTCGTTGCTAAATGTTTCGGCGAGATCGTGCACCCTATCTTGCAGGGCACTTCGTCTTTTATCACGCTTCGAGACGGGTTGAGGGTTGGAGGGGGGTGATCTCGAACGGTTTCGAGCGTTGGATGTCATCATGTACGGTTGGGCTCCGCCTGTCCCATGAGATTGGCCTGCCAGTGTATTTGGAGAAACTGGACGCGGGGAATATGCCATCGGCATGGTATTGTATGAATTAGATTTTGTAGATTATGGGGATCCGTTGGGAAAAGTGTCACCAATCAAGGCATTCAGATATGAGATTCTAAACACAGCAAAATTAGGAATAGTTGGTAGGCTAAAAATGGAAGTGCACAATTATTCAGACATTATTATCGAAAGGTTCAGGCATAGAATATGAGAGTTGAATAGATCGTATCTACATACCATCAGAGGGAACGGAGCTTTTTGGTGGTGCTTGGTGATAGCATCGAGCACATGGATCAATGATGAGGATACGTCGTTCGGAAGCCAAATAAATACAGGACACACATAACCTATTGGTGGAAACCAGTTAGAAAATAAGATGAATGAACGAGACAGATGCAACGGACGAGAAAAGGCAGATGTTGCGAGGGGCCATGACAGGAAAACAATGAGTTAATTCAACAGAACGAAAGACAAACAGAGCAAACATACCCGAAGCGGAGGGAGAATCCTGGAGACCGCTTTTCCTCGACAAGCTTCTAGTATGAATGACTCCCGATAACGGCTTATAAAAGGTGTACAATAGCGACAAGAGAGCTATAGAACGGCGCGTAAAGATAATACTGATATCAGATAAGCCCGTCGGGTCGAGGATGCGGTGTTTTAATGGTCGGGGTAATCTAGAGTCTTCGCTGGGGAGGGATTGGGATCGGATCAACGCTGACGAATTTCCCAGTTATAGGGAGCTAGTTCGACAATTACGAGCAATATACGATTAGATATTTGGTATTTGAAACAAGTTTTGGGGGTTGCTGAGGTCTGTGGGACGGGAGGAACGAGGCTGCAAATGCAGCAGGCCGTCACAGCACAGGCAGGTTGGAGAACGGGGTGATTGGAGGACAGGTTCCAGGGTCTGGGCCGGAGGGAAACGAGGATGCGATGTAGCAGGAGGTGGTCGAATTGCGGCAGATATGTATCTTCATCTCCAGGAGTGATGAAGTTGCTCCAGAGCACAAATTACTATGAACGGATGAGCAGTTGACCACGATCACGTGATAATCCAATTAGCCGCTTGGGTTTAGCGCGAACGGCTCGAGAAGAGCGAAAACGCGGGTGGAAGAACATGGACACGGCCTCCCAGAAATCCCATGGTGAATCCTTGTGCTGACTCACAGCCCACTGTTTCAAGCAGATTGTGAGGGCTTAGCAGCTCCTTTGCTGGCCTGCCTGAGTTGAGCGACTTGGGGCGCACAGAGATGCATTCAAGAGGCTGCCAATCTTGGGTTATTGTGTTGAGCTTATTCCCTACTAGCATCGCCCATCACACCATTCTGACTTCACCTTAGGCCATGGCAGGCTCTAGGGAGAATTAGAACCTCGTATTTTTCCCCCTCTACGTCCCAGACCTGGGCATCACATGTCTCTCCGATCCCCCTAATTGACATGTTGCCCTCGCCCACAGCTGCGTGCTCGCCGTCCAATCAACTTGCCGATGCATGTGGTGACGTCAATGATTGCGCTGTGTAGTCACTCTTGCTGACAAATCCATATCTGATTTCAAAGGACTGGGGATGTATACGAAGTGGTTCTTAACGGAGTTAATATCTCTGTTCTCCATCGCCTCCGTGCGAGTGGACGGCTCAATATAAATTCCATACCTCCCTCATGGGGTGGGAAGAGGAACTCTTACCCATTAAACCTTCTGTATTTTAACTTTCACATCATAGAGCTCTACTTTTTCCAACAGCATTAATACGATCAGTTCCTTGTATCTCCTATATCCCCCTCTTTATCCCAATAGTCTTTCCCGGTTTTCGCTATGTCTTCAACAGCAACGGCGACTGTTGCCCAATCTTCAACTCACCTGTCTGTCTCTGAAAAGGATACTTCTTACGTCCCCCGTGGGCCTGTGGAAGCGGAGATCTCCTTCTCGATCCCTCCGAGTGACGGATCTCGGCCATATCAATATGTTGAGACTCCACAAGGGGAGCAAACTCGCAACTACCATGACGATGGCCACTCAGTCACAATAACTGACATTCGTCACAATGAATCTCAGTTCAAACTGGACTACAACGCCTTTGAGGCTCTCGGAAACATTCACTCCGCAGCGGAGCCGTCTTTCACCGACGAGGAGAACATAAAGTCAGTGTACTATCCAGAGGTTGAGAGGCTGATTCTCGACAACGTTCCCGGCGCAAATCGCGTTTTCATCTTCGACCACACAATCCGCCGCTCGCATTCAGGTGCCAAACGTACGCCAGCCTTGAAAGCACATATAGACCAAACCCCGGCCTCGGCAGAGGCGCGGGTTAGGTACCACCTGCCAGAGGAATCAGAGCAACTTCTGAAGGGCCGCTATCGCATCATCAACGTGTGGCGCCCAATAAATGGGCCCGTACAAGCATACCCTCTTGCCTTTGCAAAGGCAACATCGGTTAGTGATCAGGACATCATGCCTGTCGAGCTTCGGTATCCCAACCGAAACGGGGAAACGGCTGCTATTAAGTATGCGGATGGCCAGGAATGGCATTACTGGTCAGGCATGACGAATGATGAGAGGTTGTTGCTGAAATGCGCGGATTCCAAGGATGTTCCGGGGAAACGGGTACCGCATACTGCTTTTGTCGATCCCAGAACTCCTGCCGGTGCGCCTGAGAGGGAGAGCATTGAAGTCAGGACTTTGGTATTTGGTTGAGGCGAACTAGGCCAGGAGCAAAATGCTTCTTTATGACTTTAATGTATTCCATGAATTATTTTGAAACTGTTCCCATGCTCGAA